GTTATGCATAAGATGAAGGGTGTTTTCTTTTTTTTACTTCAAAGTGAGGAAGGTGATATATATAAAGTCACTCTTGACTACGAGGATGATAAGGTGAAGGCAATTAAAATTAAGTATTTTGACACCGTGCCCATCGCTGCATCATTATGCATACTCAGAGCTGGTTTTCTGTTTGTAGCTGCGGAATTCGGAAATCAGTATGTTATTTGGTTTACGTTATAATTACGTTACTCTTCAAGATTTCACAAAACCTAATTGACATTTTCTTTCTTATAGTCGATTATATTCATTCACAAGTCTTGGTGATGATAATGACGAACCAGAATGGTCCAGTGAAAGTTTTATGGATACTGATTTAAATCATCATGCATCGGCATATTTTACCCCGAGAGAGTTACAAAATTTGGAACGTGCCGATGAAATAGAAAGCCTGAATCCATTAATTGATGCCAAAGTACCATTTTTCGATTTTTGATCATTTATTTATTTAATATGCAATTTAATTGATTTTCAAATTTGTATCAATGTAGGTTTTAAATCTTACAGATGATGATACACCACAATTGTATGCTTTATGTGGAAGAGGTGCCGGCTCAACTTTCCGGATATTAAGGCATGGTCTGGAAGTTTCTGAGATGGCGGTTTCTGAATTGCCTGGTAACCCTAATGCCGTTTGGACTACTAAGCTTAAATCCGATGGTAAGTCAAATCAAACTTCTATTCAACATCAACTTAATAAATACATATAAATTCAATTAGCATTTCACAGACGAATTTGATGCGTATATTATTGTATCATTTGTGAATGCAACCTTGGTACTATCCATCGGGGAAACTGTTGAAGAAGTAACTGATACCGGATTTCTTGCAACAACGCCCACGTTAGATGTTCATCAACTGGGTGATGATGCATTGCTCCAGGTTTAATATTAAAAATAATTATTACTCTGCAATATCTCCGTTTTTTATATTAGAGATAATCTAATATTTTATTTATCTAAAAAAGATATATCCTCAAGGGTTGAGGCATATCCGTGCTGACCGCCGCGTAAATGAATGGAAAACACCCGGCAACAGAGCTATAGTGAAAGCTACAACTAACAAGCGTCAAGTTGTTATAGCATTGACGGGCGGTGAACTCGTGTATTTTGAGTTGGATAATCAAGGTCAGCTGAACGAATATCAAGAACGCAAGGAAATGTCAGCAAATGTACACTGTTTAAGTATTGGGGAAGTTCCAGAAGGGAGACAGAGGTCAAGGTTTTTGGTAGGTTTAATATTCGATGTTGTGATTATTGGGTTATAAATGGTTCAATAAGTAACTGGCTATTATTTCCCAATAAAGGCTGTGGGTTGTGATGACAACGCCGTCAGGATTCTTTCTCTTGATCCTGATAATACTTTAGAGGTTCTCAGCACACAGGTGAGTAAACTATCAAAGTTTCTTTCTTTATTATTAATCTCTCCATAACTGATCAACTTTTGCTACAGGGTCTAAGCGCGCCTCCACAATCTCTATCCATCATTGAGATGATGGATATTGGTACTGACGCTTCACATGGAACACTCTATCTTAATATAGGATTACAAAATGGTGTATTATTGCGAACAGTATTGGATACGATAACTGGTGCATTGACCGATACTAGACAAAGGTACTTGTTTATCTATACTTATATTGCGACGCAGAACGGATAAAGCTTATAACTATTGGGTTTAATCGTAGGTTTCTTGGTGCTCGACCGGTTAAGCTTTTTCAGGTCAAAATTCAGGGATCTCCTGCGGTTTTAGCGTTGTCAAGTCGGCCTTGGTTAAGTTATACTTTTCAATCCAGATTACATCTTACACCACTTTCATATGATATGCTGGAATATGGATCCAACTTTACATCACCGCAAGTTCCAGAAGGTATTGTGGCAATTTCTGCCAACACTTTGAGAATATTTGCCGTGGAAAAACTAGGGACAGTATTTAATCAAGCAACAATACAACTTAAATATACACCACGTCACTTTATCCTTCATCCAATTTCGAGAAATTTTGTTGTAATCGAAAGTGAACATAATACATTTTCTCCAGCGGAAAAGGAAAAGACATTGGAAGCTAAGACCAAAAATGGATTTCAATTTGATCCTAAATTATTGGAATTAGCTCCGGAGACGTTTGGTTTACCCAAAGCAGAGCATGGAAAATGGGCGTCATGCATTCGTGTTATAAACCCTTTCCAAGGCGAAACAATGTCATTAGTGGAACTTGAAGATAATGAGGCCGCATTTAGGTACATATGTTTATGTATATATTTCGCCTTTATATACGAGTATGCTTATGAATTTTTTTTACATAAAAGTATTGCTACAGTAAACTTTCACGGGAATAACAATGAATTATTCCTTGTCGTCGGCACTGCAAAGGATGCAAATTTGGCACCACGAACGTGTTCTGCAGGGTATTTGTATGTATACCAATTCGTAGATGGAGGAAACTCTTTAAAACTTGTACATAAGGTAATTCTTCTATATAATTTTATGTTTGTGAATTTAACTAGAATTTAATTAACTAACCAACTTTTATTGGCAATTGTGCATGTAGACACAATGTGATGATATCCCTTTAGCACTATTGGGATTCCAAGGGAGACTTATTGCTGGTGTTGGCAAAGCACTGAGAATATACGATATGGGTAAAAGGAAATTGTTAAGAAAATGCGAGTCAAAGGTTTGTTGTTTCCTTATAAAATTTTTAACCATTATACTTTGTAATCAACACTTACATGATTTATAGGCGATTCCAAATTGCATTGTTAATTTACATACGCAAGGAAATCGCATTATTGTCTGCGATATGCAAGAATCTGTCCATTATGCATCATACAGACCACACGATAATCGTATCATTATTTTCGCTGATGATACTACTCCGAGATGGATAACAACCACCACAATGATAGATTATGATACACTTGCTGGTGGAGATAAATTTGGAAATTTTTTTATTGATCGGTTACCAGCAGAAACAAGTGAAGAAGTAGATGAAGATCCTACTGGTAATAAAATAATGTATGAAAAAGGATACTTGATGGGTGCTCCACATAAGGTATATATGTGTGTTTGTTTTTATCTAAACTACTTATTAATTACATTCTTAATGTTAACAAACTACTCATTAAAATATTAAACAGGTATCTATGATTGTACATTATCATGTAGGAGACATTATTACATCCCTCCACCGAACAACACTTGTTGCTGGTGGACGTGAAATCCTAACTTATACTGGTATAATGGGTAGTATTGGGGTGTTTGTCCCATCTTTGACAAGGGAAGATATAGAATTTTTCCAAACACTTGAAATGCATTTGAGAAACGAAGCAGCGCCTTTGGCGGGACGTGATCATCTTCAATATCGTAGTTTTTACGCACCTGTGAAAAGTATGGTTGATGGTGATTTGTGTGAACAATACAATTTATTACCGATGGATAAAAAGAGAATGATCGCCGAAGAATTAGACCGCACGCCTGCGGAAATACAAAAGAAAATTGAGGACATGAGAGTAATGGCAGCGTTTTAATTGGTGATCCTGGCCAATAAATGAAAATTGGTTAAAGCTTAATCGGTTGATTTTTCAAGCCGGCTGTTGATTTTTTATAATAAGCTTTCGATTATTGCAAAACTTATATATATATATATATACAGTATATGTTGAGACATACTTTCTGATGTACTCGAATAATGCATCATATCAATGAGAAGCGATATTAGCACTAGCACTAAAGTTTTTTAATTAGTGCTAAAACCTAAACATAAATCGTAATATGATGTTATTGTCAAAGTCTGGAACTTCCACTGAATTTTAGATTTTTAATACTCTAATAAAAAAGAACAATTTTATGAGCCTTTTATTGATGCCTTAGATCCGCCTAAGATCCCGACTGTTAAAGATCCTGGTGATATTAAAGATGAATGTACATTACTTTATTATTCGTCACTAATTTATAATTTTTTTACAGTAGTAGAAATAAGTTACATTTTAGCTCAATTGTAAATACTGAATTACAAAGAAGTGTTTGCAACCTATTTGTCTTGCTATGTTAATATTCTTATATAAATACATTATCGTATATTATATCTTCAAAATATATAGCTGTATTACGTACAATGAAGTGTTTGCATTATTAGTTCGTAACTTATTTGTCTTGCTATGTTAATATTCTTATATAAATGTCGTATCTAAAGTTACCATGTTGCAACTTTAGATATATAAAGTTGATCCGACTAAAATTAAGCCCCTGAAATTAGATCTTCATACGTATAATTCTGGTTAGGTGCAACTTTTATATATCTAAAGTTGCAACTTCAGATAGTAACTTTAGATACGACATATATGCTGTATATATATATTATATATACTGTCGACTCTGAATATAACCTTTTTATAACAAATTCACTTTATAACGAACTTTTTTTAGCAAATTTATTATAAAGTTCGGTATAAAAACATAGTAAATTCTCTATAAGGAACTTTTTAAAAATTTTTACATATGGACCTTCAGGGTTCGTTATAAGTTATGCAGAGTCGACTGTAGTTTAAATTTTTTTAAAAAATGTTTTTTTGCAGTATATAAAGTCAATGTAGTCATCCCAAAGTTAATCATGTGTTACCAATCAGATAGTAAAACGGTGACTCTAATAGGTAACCGCATGGTTAATCTTGGCATTGTCTCACTTCCGATTATAATAAATGACATTTGATTTTTTTTTATTCTTTTTCAACTCTATAATTCAATAATGTCAAAATTCAGACAAGAATTAAAAACCATAGAAATAATACCAAATTTGACGGGTGTCATAATATTTTGTGTAGCATTTGCAATTCGTTTCATTCTTTTCCAATTTTCTAATATCACTGAAACTTTGGGAAGTCGAGTTGAAATTGTAACGCCTGTAACAAGTTTTACCCGACGTATGCATTTACAATAATAATTTGGTTTAAAAAAATTAAAATCTAATTTTAATCAAGTTCATTTCTTATCAATAATTTCAGTAACTGAGGGTCTTTACTTATTCGATAATGGCGTTCCACCATACGATGGCGGAGCTTTTCATCAGGTTAGCATTATATTAATTTTCTAGTTTCTGTAATTTATAAACTAAATATTTAAAGTCCCAATTGAATCTCTTTTTAAGGCTCCATTATTTCTCGCATGCTTCCAGCTACTTAGTTACCTTCCAAACATATCAATACCGTTGACTTATATAATAACAGATTTACTCATAGCTTATCTTTTAGCGGATATAACACGAATAAAGCAACATTTGTATCAAGATTTTCCACGTATAGATGTAGAATTAGAAGAGGGAAAGCCAAAGGAAATTGATCCGTGGATAGTTTCTGGATTGTATCCTTTGAAGAGAATTAGGAAACTAATCATATAGTATATATTATCTTATTATTTGTTCTTTCATTACTTTATTTATTTATATGGTATAGATATCTTTTTAATCCATTGACAGTTGCATCATGTCTCTCTCAATCAACTCTTTTATTCACGAATCTTTCAATTGTTCTTGGAACGTATTATTCTCTTAAAAGTAATTAATAATTTACGATTAAAATTTTAACATCACATTATTATATTTACATATTAATTATATCAATATATTAGATAACAAAAGTTATAGCATGTTTTGGATTGCAATGGCAACCTATTTGAGTTTTTATCCATTAATGTTAGTCATACCTGCAATATTGATATTGACTAATAATACAAATTTAAAAGAAAAGAAAATAGAGGTATTTTATATTTTATTGATTTAATACTATCTTTACATATTTCATAATTTTAAATTTTATTTTTTTTAGAATGAAGTATATAGCTGTGCAGGTTTATATATTGGATGGTTAATAGGATTATTAATTTTATCTTATCTTTTAGTTGATTCATGGGATTTTATGCAGTCTACATATGGAATAATGTGTGTTTCATATAATATCTATTTTATGATTATAATTTTTAAAACATACTTTGAATTTGGCTAATTTATTATTGTTTATAGCCTTTTTTTATCAGATTTAACTCCAAACATTGGTTTATTTTGGTATTTCTTTATTGAAATGTTTGATCAGTTTCGAAGCTTCTTTCTGGTTGTATTTCAGTTGCATGCATTTATTTTTGTTGTACCAATATCTATAAAGTTCAGGTATTTATTTTATAAAATGTTTAAAGTAATTTTTTAAATTTTAATTTACATAATTACTATTTACTTATTTACAGAAATCATCCATTGTTTGTTGTATTTCTTTTGAGTGGTATTATGGCTGTGTTTAAATCTTATCCATCAATAGGGGATGTATCACTTTATCTTGCTTTTCTTCCTATTTATTCAGAAATTATAAAATGTGAATATTTTTTTTATAATACTATTTTTTTTTGTTGCTATAATATACAAACTAATTATTTTTTTTTTAAATTTGGTTTAAATTATTAAATATCAAGATATGAGATATAACTATCTTACAACAAATATATTTTGTTATTGTTCTATATTATCTCCAATTTTTTATTATTTATGGATTTATGCAGGTAGTGGAAATGCAAATTTCTTTTATGCTATTACTTTAGTATATACTGTAGGAAATATAATTTTGCTAGTTGATGCTACTTATTCAATGCTTAGAAGAGAGTTTGATATTTGGAATCCTGAGTTAAGACATTGTGAGATTATGCAAAAATAATTTTCAAAATAATATGTAGATTTAGTTAATTAAAATTTTTTTTTGGCAATAATATATTAGCGGGATTATAAATACTAATCCCACAACAGCAGAAATAAGGAGTAAATCTCCGGCCACCTAGGGGTTCTTCGGGCCCCAGGTGACCGGGATCTACCAGGATATCCTCCGTAATGGGTAATAAGGATGCATTCTTCGTTTTTATGCGATGTCATGACGGAATCTTACTCATAATCACTACTTTAACTAGTAAAAAAAAAAACTAGTATTTTCGGGAAAATAACAAGCACTGCTATAAATCTGTTTTTTACTGATTAGTGATTATAAATAGTAGAACCCACATCATGTGATCATGAATAATTTTTTTATCTAACGTACAATATTTAAGTTATGGGAGATATACGGTAATATTTTGAGGATTGTAAAATCTGATTCTGTTAGTACTATGTTAGTAAATCATCGCTGTTTCGATTTAGTTGGATTGATTACGTCAATATAGGTATTTAACTAAATTAGTTATATATACTATATATTTTGCCGAACCATATATGATATATTTTTAATTATTCATAAATGTCTTTCAAGCTTCTTCACTAGCATAAATTCGAGAAATATATGGCTAATTATTTAGACTTGATAGAACCAGGCCAGGGCCGATGATTTTCTGTTTTGGTTAAGACCAAATTCTGTTTTCGGTTAAGAAAAATTCTGTGATGTCATGTGCTGTTTTTTTTAATGTATTCTGTAATTCTGTGGTAATTTAATTTGATTCTGTGATTTGATGCGATTAAAAATATAAAATGTGCAAAATTCCGTAACTTCCTGACAAACATCTACATTTTCGGGATTTCCCGGTGCCCAATCCGAATTTATAGTCAAATCCTGCGATATTATAGGATTCTGTGATGTTCTGCGCTACTTATTTAGATTTTTGTGATATTCTGCGGTGACTAAAGGTGATTTCTGTGGTTAGCTGTTTTTAAGGAAAATTC